TTTTAAAAAGAGTTGCAAAGCAAAGTAAGGCTTATTGTATGATTAGTATCACATAAATAGATGATATAAGTCACAGTTAAATGACATGTCTGGGAGATGTAGCAGAGATCATTATTCTAGAAGATGTATTGTCTGCGCCTTAAGGGAGATGAATGGTAAAAACTTGGCCACACCTGTTCATCAGCTTCCTGTTACTGTGACAAAATACCTGAGAAAAATAAACTTAATAAAGGAAAAGGTTTGGCTCACAATTTCAGTCCATGGTCACTAGCCCTATTACTTTGGACTTGTGATGGCACAGGACATCATCATAGTGGGAGCATATGGCAGAGGACACTGTTCATCTCATTGCAGCTGGGAAGTGGAAGATAAAGAAGGGACCACGGTCCCACTATCCCCTTTAAGGGCACATCCCCAATGACCTACCTTCCTCCCAGTAAGCCTCACCTTCTACAGGCTGGTGACCCAGCCTTCACCAGTTAAGATTTGGGGGACATTAAGATCTGTATAGACCTATATATACACCTATATAGAGACCACATTTGGTTGAACAATCCGGAAGGATCGCATGAATTCAAGTGTGAGAGAAACCAACTACATCAGAACCCAGGAGTATAAACCTCCTGGGCTCGCAAAGTCTTAAAACCCTATTCTGATGCCCAGAGAAAATCTCTACTTAAGGTCACAGGATCTCATCCCCAATCTATTGCCCTTTGGTTTACACTCAGACGTCCCTGACTTATCACCTTTCCAGGAACAGAGAAGAGATTTATGAACTCAGTGGTAGGACTAATCCATTGAACCACTAGAACCGTCATTCTCCGTGTGGATCACTTTGGGGAGAGAGGGAATGGGGCAGGAGTGGAGAACATGTGTTTTATCTGTAAGGCTTCATTTTATTGAAGAGGGAGGAGGCAGCCAGGGGATGGGGACAATCCAGAAGCAAATCCAATAAAAAATTAATATCGGTTCCTTTGAGAGAGACCACATATGAATATTTGCTCTACTGCCCTTTAATAGGAAAATATGAAGTTCCTGAAAGTATCTTGTTTTTCAAATAAAAACAATGGCATCATCAAATTATGATTCCTAAAGCTGTTTAATCCAGATACATTTTCATTTTGCAGCTGAAACTACTCCAATGGTGCTTTTGGTTTGTTTGTTTTCCATTTCTTAGGAAAGAGGAAAAATCCTTCAGTAGTCTCTGACCACCATTTAAAGAATTTGCTACTCTCGAGCTGCTCAATCAAGCTTAGCTCCATCTGGCTGCTACCTGTCCTCTACCAAGTGCAAGACGTATCTGTATTTGTATGTTTGCTATCACTTTTTCCCATTACTCTCCACCAGGATATAAGCTCCATGAGGGTAGGGACCTTGTCTCACTTACTACTGTGTCATATCCATCTATCATAATGCTGATCACAGGATTATCCCTGCTCCACAAAAATGTAATTGGCCTCATCTACCAATTTTCAACTAGATCCCACTCATCTTTTCAGGCTCCTCTGGACTTTTTAGCTTTGGCCTTGAGGACCAGCCCAGCTCCCACAAAGTTACCTGACACCAGACCACAGTAAGACTAACCTTGGAAAGATGTGTTACATCTAGGCCTCTTCCGGGACTTTCCAGCACCAGCTTGGGCTCTTTGATATGTGTAAAGAAAGCCCTCAGTATATAGTTGCGGCCTATATAGTTCATTTGATATTTCTCCCTTACTCTTCTTTACCTAGAGTCCCTGAGAAAAGTATTTCTCTTCCCACCCTGCTATAAGATTGCTGTTGGACATTTCAGAGTAGTTTCAAAACAACACCAAGAGCTGGGGGCAACAGTATGGTAGAGCACCTGTCTTGCATGCAAGAGTCCCTGGGTTCAATCCCTAGTACTGCAAAAACAAACAAATTAAAAAACTCATCCGTAAGCTGTCTTCTCTCATTTATTTAGCACTTCTTAGCTCATTTATTTCTGCATTTTTTTACTTTCACTGTAATTAACCATTTATTGTTAAGTTCTTACTTTCTCAAAGCATATGTAATAAATATAAAGTTTACTTTCTGGAGAAAACATTTTGTCTCACACACCAAGTGAATGTCTAATGGAGAAAATAACAACAAAATCCCCCCAAAACTCCATTAGAGATTTCTTCTTAAAATTAAAGTTGAATGTTTTGTTCTGAAAAAGGAAGAGTGGAGGACAAGGAAATATGAGTTCTTACCTGCTTGTCCGGAGCCCTCCTGTTGCACTCAGGTCAAAGAAGTCACTTCCTCACCCTTGGCCTAGGAAAGATCATCACTTGGGATGCAGATATCCTGCAGCCAGGAGGGAATTTCTATCCCAGGAACTTGAGGGGAAAAAAAACCTGGGAAACAGAAGGGCCACAACTCCACCCAAGATACTGTCACCAAGGCTCTGCATCCGGGACTCTCTCCAAATTTTGCTGAATGAAGAAAGATGTCCCTTGTTTTTACATCCAAGAAAGAGCCAAACTGTCCCCTACCTATATGGGTGTGTGTCGGTCACCCAAATGGTTGTTTAGACCAGGGTTTTCTCCTATTTTGAGAATCACTATCATAGCTGCTCTTATTTTGTGGTCTCATATGTAGCTCAGGTGTTCAGATAAAATTGAAAACCTTTAGCTCCAAGTTTTGAAGTGTATCCAAATAGCTGATAAGTTCCTATGATAGTTCCAAGAAGCTATAGAATGCCAACCAGCAAATTGGAGAATCAGGTACCCTTGATTTAAGTTTCCAGGATTTATTCCGAGATTTGCTGTGTCATAATCCTGCCGGCAAGATAATTCAGAGTGGGGGCTGGGGATGTGGCTCAAGCGGTAGCGCGCTTGCCTGGCATGCGTGCAGCCCGGGTTCGATCCTCAGCACCACATACAAACAAAGATGTTGTGTCCGCCGAGAACTAAAAAATAAATATTAAAAAATTCTCTCTCTCTCTCTCTCCCTCTCTCTCTCTCTCTCTCTCAAAAAAAAAAAAAAAAAAAAAAAAAAGATAATTCAGAGTGGTTTCCAGGAACCTCAGAGTTTGCCTAATACCACATGCTTACTTAGGAAGTCCCTGTTCCATGCACCTTCCCAGATCTGGAACAGTCATCTGTAAATAGTCCACACTTTGTGTTTTTCCTCTTCTCTACTTGCCAGGGCAAGTATGGCTCTTATAGTTGACACACCTATGGAAGTAACATAGTTTTCTGATCCTAGATTATAACCAACATTTATCACATACTTACTGTTTATCCGATGTTCTCCTAAGAGATTCATATACATAGTTGCTTTTAACCTTTACCACAATCCTATGAATAGGTACCCTTAGCACCCATCTTATATATGAAAAACAGGTTAAGTGACTTTTCCAAGGCAAGTGGCTAGTAAGCGTTGGAGCAAAGATTCAGACCCGCTTAAGGCCTGAACTATCAGGCCACCTTGTGTCTCTGTGAGCTGTCCTTTCTGCTTTGGGGATATAGAAGAAGGGAGAAGAGGCCTCACACAACTGATTTCTGAGTTCAAGAGGGAAAGGATAACCATCCCAAAAGATTATAAAAGCAGATTGAAAAGAAAGTGAGAAATTTAGGCCTAAGGAATTTACTGCCAAAGGTCTGTCCAGGGGGACCCCATGATATGAAGAAGAGGCAGATGTCTGCCGGTGAACTGTTCAGTCTGACTGGTGACATATGGAAGGATTTATAAGCGCTCTGAGTTACATGTGTAGGAATGCTGAAATATTTGAGTAGAGCCTAGGTATAATGGGTACCATAAACCATTATTCCAGCCTGGCAGTTGTGAACAAACAGGGGAGCAAACCACTAGAAAACTCTGGGAAATGAAGTTTCTTTTTCTTTTGTTTTCTTCTCTTCAGGTGTTGTGGGGAATGTGGTCGAGAAAAGGAGACCTAATTCCACTCTGGGACTCTCACATTCTGTGCCACAAAACCCAGATGGCTTAAATCCTAGACTCTTCTCCCCGCAGGAAGGTTTCCAAACTGCGCCAGGGCTCTTCGGAGACTCGGTTCTTCCTCTCTAATTTTGCATGTGGGCACCTTCTCCCCTCCCCTTGTGCCTGGCGGAGAGGGCGTGTTGCGAACCGCCTTGTGGCGGGGCTCCAGCAGCCGCAGCTGTGCACTGTCGGCGGGGGAATGCAGGGGGAGCCCCGGGGACAAGCAGACCTCGGGATGCTCTGTGCAGAGCGCTCCGCCGGGTCCCGGCACGCCCGCCCGCCAGTCCAGGGAGCTAGCCTTGCACTGCGCGGGAGACAAGAAGTAGCTTGCTTACAAAAAGACTATTTCAGCACGGTGCATAGGTAATTAAATGTATCTTAAAAAGAAAAATGGGCTGTGGGGTGTAAAAGCTGGGTCGGTGGGGCGTTCCCTAGGCTGAACACCATCACTCCTTAGCAAACCTGTCACCCGGCCATGGCTCTTGTCCGGTGTCTAAGCTCCGGAAAAATAATGAAGGATATGGGTGGGATCTGGAGAGTGCCAAAAGAAATTGCTTTTCTCGTGTTTAAATTCGGATTAGAAAAGCCAGAAGATCATGATTACTGACTCCATAAATCCATAAATAGACTGACATAGGGCTGGGGTTGTGGCTCAGTGCTAGAGCGCTTGCCTAGCATGTGTGAGGCCCTGGGTTCAACCCTCAGCACCGCATATAAAATAAAGGAATATACCAGCAACACTTGAAATTCATCCTTGCAATAAAAAGGGGTTAAAAGAAAAACACTCTTTGCCTCTTGGTAGCATCAGGACTGTGATGGAAAACTCCCGAACTCCCAAGGAATATGCACTATGAGTGTGTGTTTTTCCAAGTTCATTTTATGCTTTAAGGCTGCGACCCATGGAGCAAGGACCGGATTGGGCCGTCTGGGTGGGCGTGTGCCCGCAGTGTGTGCTCTCCTTCCTAACCATGACAACACAACTTTCTCTTTGCTTTATTTACCAGACTAGATCTCAACAATGGGGCATGTATAAACTTCTTGTATGTTTGCTCTTTTCAGTTCTAGGGAAAATCCGAACCGCAGTGGGCAGTGCCCAACTTCTCATGGCCCAGAAATTCTACCAGTTCAGAGAACTGTGTGAAGAAAACCTGGTAGGTAATATGTCCCATCCCTATGATCTTCCTGTTCCTACAGCACCATAAGACCAGCACCAACTAAACTAGAACTGATGTTGAATCCAGTCAAGACTCCCAGGAGTCTCACACCTGGAATACAGAGGTTTTTAGATGAATCTCATTTCCCACTTTTCTTAAAATTAAAAATATTTTACACTTAAAGAATCTTAGGAGGAGGAAAAAAATAAATAAACAAGTTCAAACTCCATTTCCTGCTCTTTGTAACTGAAAATTTTCCATTTTCCTGGTTTTCACATGATATCTCTGATTTTATTATTCTACCAAAATGCAAAGCAGTCTGGTATTTCAAAAATGATGTTACAAAGAAAATAATTTTGGATCGTGATTCTTTTTCTAAAATAGACAACAATGACTATTTCCTACTCAGAGTGTTCTGTTTTAATTCAAAGGGCAGAGTTCAGAGGTGTCACAAAGTATAGATTTGGTCTCCTGAGACAAAGGAATAATTCACTCTTCTGAGCATACAAAAAAAAATAATAATAAAGCAAAACAAAGAAAGAAAAGTGCCACTACCAACAATGGCATTTTTTCCCCCAACAAGAGCATTTTAAAAGTTGATTGCAAACTAAAAGGGCAAGAGCTTCCTTACAAGTGCTTTGGAAAAAAAAAAAAAAAACGCTATTGTCTCTATAAACAATTATACAAGAATAGCTTTTATTGCACAACTGCTTTTGTCAAACTGAATCTAAAACAAAGAAAATAAAAAAGCCATTTATTTGTTTGTAAAAAAGTGAAAACATGATTATTTGCAATCCAAATGACCCAAAATATGATTTGAGAGTTTTAACTCTGTATCATGACACTTTGTTTCTCCTCACAAGGAATCTCATTTACAAGGACAAATGCAGACTTGAAGTCATTTATCTAGCCTGGGCTCAATCAAGAAAAATATAAAGCATGAAAAATTAACACTCTCCATTACTCTTCTCTAGGCTTTTTTTTTTTCAAATATTTCCTTTGGGTGCCCCCCCCACACACACACACACATACATTGATAGTTTCTTTTCTTCTCTCTCAGCAAATATTATCTGACCCTTTTTCTACATTCACAGAAGTCTATATTATGAGATAATTTCTAGTAGTAAATATATTGATAAGTGATCAGTTGAACAAATATTTTATTGAATTTCAGCTATGTGCCAGATGCAGAAATTCCACAAGTTTGCAAATTTGCTAATGTGTCACAGATTTTTTTTTTTTTTTAAAGTACTGGAGATTGACCCTAAAGGCCTCACACTTGCTAGACAAGTGCTCTACTACTGAACTATGTCTCCAGTCCTTTTCATTTAATTTTTTAATTTTTTTGGTGCCGGGGATTGAACCCAAGGGTGCTTAGCCACTAAGCCAGATCCCCAGCCCGTTTTATATTTTATTTTGAGGCAGGGTCTCACTCAGTTGCTGAGGCTGGCTTTGAATTTGTGATGCTCCAGCCTCATCCTCCCAAACTGCTGGGATTACAGGTGTGTGTCACTACACCCAGCTTCATTTTATTTATTTTCTTGTGGGAGGAGGTACCAGGAATTGAATTTAGGGACACTTCCTAGCCACATCCCCAGCCCTATTTTTTATTTTATTTAGAGACAGGTCTTACTGAGTTGCTTAGCACCTTGCTTTTGCTGAGGCTGGCTTTGAACTCGAAATCCTCCTGCCTCCGCTTTCGGAGCCACTGGGATTACAGGTGCGTGGCACAGAACCTGGCTTCATTTTATTTTTTGAGACAGGGTTTCACCAAGTTGCCCAGGCAGAGGCATGAGATACCAGGTCTTTCCTATGTCACAGATCTTTTTTATGTGTGTGTGGTGCTGGAGATTGAACCCAGGGCCTTAGTGCATGCAGGCAAGCACTCTACCAACTGAGGTATATGCCAAGCCCACAGATCTTATTTAACTCGATTCTTTGTCCTTTAAATGTAAGAAGGCTCATAGGAAGCCATAGGATCCAAACAGGCCAATAGGTGTGTGAGGAATAAGTCACCAGGTACATATCACAGGGAACATATAGCACACCCTTGTTAAAAAAAAAAGAAAAAAAAATGATGAGCTAGTTTATTATGAAGTAGAATGAAAATATTGTACAGATTTTAAAGATGGAATTGTAGCAAAAATTTTTTGAAAATTTTGCTAATTTCTAGGAAATATTAACCTTGTTAAAGCCAGCTTTTTTTTAAATTTTTTTTTAAGAGAGAGAGAATTTTAATATTTATTTTTTAGTTTTCAGCGGACACAACATCTTTGTTTGTATGTGGTGCTGAGGATCGAACCCGGGCCGCACACATGCCAGGCGAGCACGCTACCGCTTGAGCCACATCCCCAGCCCCTTACAGCCAGGTTTTGATGTTTCCTCGTCCCTTATGGTCTCATATTTCTTGGCCACTGGAGAAACTTGGGTGGCAAAATATGAGAACCACTGCTAGGAAGTGGACTGAAACAGTGTCCCATGGGGGAAGGGGGGCCAGTGGTACTGATTAAACCAGGCTCTTGCAGAGAAGGTCAAGAGCCTACCAAGTGCTAATTGCTATGACAACTTTTAGATTGCCAACTTTTAGATTTCTGATCTGTTCAATCCTCACGACGACCATGTTGGAGTTAATAAAGATATCACTGTTAGGATGATTTTACAGATAAGAAAAATAGGCATGGGGCTGGGGTTGTGGCTCAGTGGTAGAGCGCTTCCTTAGCACGTGTGAGGCCCTGGGTTCAATTCTCACAGCACTGTGTATAAATAAATAAAATCAAGGTCTATTGACAACTAAAAAAAAATTTTTTTAAAGAAAAAAAATTTAAAAGAAAACAGGCATGGAAAAGTCAAAAAAAAAATTTAATCGGGCCCACATGGTAAAAAAGGTAGAGCCAAGACTCAAATCTCAGTCTATTTGACTTCAGTCCCTCCAGTCCTACCCAGGATTTGAGTTCCACTCCTCTCCCTCATGGAGGAGTCCCCTCCACCCCTGGTGGTGGTACCATTTTGGTCTACAGCTGCATAAACGTGGCACTATGATTGGTCAGAACCAGACTCAGACCTTCTTTCTTGAGTTCCTACTCTGAAGAGCAGAAAAATAATAGCTCTTTATTTAGAAAACACTTGCACATTATCCTAGACTTGATTCTCAGGCTTAGAATGAATGGACAAAAGTTGGCTTTTCCCAACATAACTAAACCAAGGAACACAGCTTCCTCCTCCTTCACTCCCTCCCACACCTCTGACCTCCAAGATGGCCTGGTTTAGATTCAGGAGTGAGCTGCCACTCCCTTTGTTGCAGGGGATCTTACGTGACCATTGCTTTAGGAGATGGCTAAGCACCAAAGCCCTTTCTCTCTTGTTTCCTTTTCTCTCTGTTTCCTTTTTATTTTTTTTTTATAAAGTAAGTTAAATATATTTTATTTAGAGTTAGGGTCTCTCTTTTTTTTTTTAAGAGAGAGAGAGAATTTTTTAATATTTATTTTTTAGTTTTCGGCGAACATAACATCTTTCTTTGTATGTGGTGCTGAGGATCGAACCCGGGCCGCACACATGCCAGGTGAGCGCGCTACCGCTTGAGCCACATCCCCAGCCCTCTCTCTGTTTCCCCATCCATCTTTTTTGACAATGTGAGGGCAAAAAGGGAACAAACTGCCCATGATACAGAATTAAGGACATTTAATAAAGCATTACAAATAAGCATAAAAAAAAGAAAAGAAACGAAACATTATAGATATTTGGGCCCATTGAACATTACTAATGTGGGGTAAGATGGAGCATTACCAATCCAAAATCCAAAATCAGTAATACTCCAAAATCTGAAACTTTGGGGGCACCAACATGACACTAAAAGGGAAAAATTTGGGCTGGGGCTATAGCTCAGTTGGTAAAGTGCTTGCTTTGCATGCACAAGGCCCTGGGTTCGATCCCCACACCACAAAACAAAAAGAGACAAATTCTACCCCTTATCTCATATGACAAGTCACAGACAAAATGCAGGTGCACTAAAGATACTGTCTAAAATTAATTTCAGGCTAGGTACATAAGGTGTATATGAAACGTAAATGAATTTCATGTTCAGACTTGGGTCCCATCTCCAGATATCTCATTATGTATATGGAAACATTCCAAAATCTTAAAAAGCTCAAAATCTAACTTCCAGTCTCAAGGGTTCTGGAAAAGGGATATTCAGTATACATTAGTTCTTACATTGGTACATTGAAACAGTTTAGTCAATAGGGCTGTTAGAAGACTTCACTAAACTCCAAAATATGAAGAGTTTAGTTTTTAGTTACTAATAAGAACAAATATGTTGTGATATCATAAAACTATTTGGGAGACACTTTGCAAAGAATATTATCTATTTATTCTGACTATCTAAATGTTGAGGAAACTCCCTTAAAAAAAAAAAAGAAACTAAATCAAAATACTACAAAGAGTTTTTTTTTGTTGTTAATTCAGGTATCACTGGAATGATTTGGTTTTGGTTGGGTTCTAGGGCCTCGAGCATGCTAAGCACGTACTGCCCCACTGAACTACTCCCAAACCCTAGAATAGATTTTAAAATACTGAATCCAGTGCTTCAAAATTTTGGAATTTATTTCTTCCAATGAATTTCAGAACTATGTAGTTTTAAAACTGTAAAATTATAAATACATCTTTATTTGTATTTATTTTGAGCCAGGCCAATAATACTAGTCCATTCATGGATATAAAAGTTCTTTACAAAAGAGACCAAAGTTGACACCAGAGAGAAGCTGCTGACACAGGAAGTTTCCTGCCATCTAACCAGTGCCTTAAGCCACTTTTGTGGATACCAATTGGCAATGAGTGTGACATCTTCAGTCTCTTGATGTGGTTTTTCTGTCTTATAAATTAAGGTTTATACTTTCTATTGTCATGGCTAATGTGAATAGGGACAAAGAAAGTCAATCCTTAACCACTGAAAAATGTTTATGAGCCATTACAGATATATATCTGTAATGATACACACACACACACACATACATATGTATCTGTAATGATTCATTTCCTAGAATAGGAAACACACACACATAAATTAAGATTAAAATTAATCTTAATTTAAATTCCTCATTTGTTCTCTGAATAAATTGTATGAAAAGAGTCAAGTACCTACTCTAATAATAATATACTTTTTAATAATATACTTTATTACTCTAATAGTAATGTATTTTTCTCAAAAATGGTATTTTCATTTAAACACCATATGCTAAAATGCATCCTGTAATAGGATTTCCCAAACATTTAGACCCTGCCCCCTTACCATATTGTACGCATGTAATCATTCTGTTGTCTCACAACAGAGGAATTTCACAACCTTGACATTTGAGAATCACTGTCTCAAAACGAGGAGTGTATAAAATTACCATTTGTAGCCTCACTTTTATCTCATATCTAAAAACTAAAAAGAACTGATCCTCCTTATGTTATTTGAAGTATTTGAAAATGCCTCTTTGGTCTTGTTCTTGCTGTGGATCTTCCTCTAAAGCATGAATATTTTTCTTTCTCTTATACAGAATCCTAATGCTCATCCAAGGCCCACCTCCCAGGATTTGGCGGGGTTTTGGGACATGCTGCAGTTGTCCATAGAAAATATTAGTATGAAATTTGATGAACTTCATCAGTTAAAGGCCAATAATTGGAAACAGATGGATCCTCTTGACAAGAAGGTAGAACAATGTAGATTTTGTATGGTTCATTTAAAAACCTGCACAAACACTGGACAGTCTAAATAGGCTTCTGCATTCAGTCCTGCTGTTTACAATGTGAAATGGAGCTGATATCATATTAACTTCATTGTAATGACAATGTTTACCTAGTAATCATTTGGGATATTATCTGTAATATGTTTCAGGCATATTTTTAAAGAAAAACCTGTCTTTGTGAATTGGAAAATGGGAATGTAGCTTTTTTTATTTTTTATTTTTTTGTTAATTAAACTTTAAGTTTAACCATTTTAGTCACTGGAAGGAACTGCCTCCATTTTGCTTTTTAAACTAAAATAAATGACATCTTCAGCGCATGATTCCATAGAGAAAGAGTTCAACTTCCTTATACCCTTAGGATGTGTTTCTGAGAAAACTAGGAAGCCCTGAAAAATAACTGACTTTGATAATCATTTCATAAATACAGTAATAAAGAAACCACTGTTGTTCAAGTTTAAAAATATACACCATAAAGTTTCATAGTAATCATAAATGTTGGGATTTTTTTTTTTTTTTCAAAAATTCTACTTTTGGTTGACTTGCTTGGGGAACATTGCTCACTGGGGTCCTCATGCAACAGTTTAGAAATAAAGACTTAAATTATTTTACTTTAATTAACCAACTGTAATTGCACATTTGATTACGGTGGTTCCAACAGGCTCATACAGATATCCAATGTCTACCTCCCAGGCTGGCCCATCATGCATGATTTTTTTAACCCTTTGTCCTATGACCTAAAGACAACAGTTCTAGGCGATTTAACCTCTGAAAGTTAGGAATGGCTGTGTCCCTGAAACAATGGTGACCCTGCTATTTTCAGGTCCCCTCACTATCAGAGAGCTAATAGCAATCCAGTTCATTCCACTGTGCCCATCCTAACAGGTTTCCTGGGGTCCCTGGGCTCCCAGGAGAAATTTAGCCCAAGGTCCCATCTGTGAGTAGCAGGAGGGTGATGCTGTCATCACTGTAGTCTCTCACCTTCAAACGGGTGGTTTTTACATTAAACATGAAAGTACTATTGATGTACATGTGGCCTCTCAGTTGGGAAGCTAAACATTGGACGCCATTTCTTTATTTGTAAAACTATTTGTTAGAAAGATTTTTAGATTGGTCTTATTTTAAGAAAACACTACAAGTGTACACATGCTGGTAATTTAGTTTCCAGTATGGATCCATCTAATTCCTCATTCATTGATTATTTAAAAATTAATTGCTGGGCTGGGTAGAGTGTTCTTAGTTGGTAGAGTGCTTGCCTTGCATGCACTAGGCCCTGGGTTTAATCCTTAGCACAAAAAATTAATTAATTAATTAATTAATTAATTAATTGCTAAAGAAAAAAGTTATGCAAAGAAAGGAAAATGACTAAAAAGTTTCCAGTACACATACTTTTAAAAATATGCACTGAGTTCCCCAAATGTCCCAAAGAAGTGATACTAAGAAGTATTATGTCACTTATTGCTATCCACACAGTAAATCATTAGTTAGCTTAATTTTTCTTCAGGGGCATGTACCAGGGATTGAACTTAAGGTCACTCTGCCACTGAGCCACACCCAGCCCTTTTTTTGTATTTTATTTAGAGACAGGGTCTCACAGAGTTGCTTAGAGATTCACTTTTGCTGAGGCTGGCTTTGAATTCGTGATCCTCCTGCCTCAGCCTCCTGAGCTTCTGGGATTACAGGTGTGCGTCACCATGCCTGGTTTAGTTAGCTTAATTTGTAAGATTTTTATTTTTCTTAATGTTCCTTTTCTATGATCAAATCAGAGCTTTACATCACCCCAGCAGCCTGAGAGAGAAAGAGAATGAAAAAACATGAGTTAGTAGAATACTGTTTGTGCTCTGTGCTTTCCATTTGTCTCCTTTCAGATCACACAGACTCCACCTTAAATAACTGTGGCAACTCCAACTCTTAATACATTTTATTAGGTCCTTCTCACAGGCAAGCGAAGAGGAACTGTTGTGCAAAGCATGCATCCGTGTTAAGACCCAAAGTGACATGTAGAGAATCTCTGAATCCATATTTTAAGATAATTTTCACATTAAGTTTTATAAAGACTCGGGATATTTTATCTAAAAGGGAAACATTGAATTTACGTGGACCTTTTCACAGCCTGAAAACTCAATATGCTTTTCCTAAAAATCCTTTGTGGTTTCAATGCCCTCCTTTCTCACTGCATTTTTTTTTTTTTCTCGTCAAAGGGATGAATGGCTGTGTTTGGCAGTGGCTTTAACAATATCTGTTTTATGGTTTGCTGCTGATAAGAGGGATGATCTCTTCCAGTCCCTTGTTAAGTTTTCATGGCACTGTTTCTGTCCCTGTGATTGGAATTGCCTCCTGGGCCACCACAGTCATCCTGAGGAGGCCCCTAGGGGTTGATGATCCTGGAAGGATCTTTAGGAGTCCTGTTGGAATTGGCTCCTCTCCTCAGAGTAAGAAACACCAGTGTCTCCCTTCTCCGGTGACCCCGTACAGTTTATTGCTGTGTGTTGGTGTGTGACATATAAAGGGGTACATAGAACTCGCTGTGGCACCAACGAAGCTGAAGAAGACAGTCTCATAAACTCTTCCTCCTTTGGTTCCTTAAAGTCTGGGGGTGAGGGGAATGGGAGGCTGGGGGGAACCCAGAAAGAGAGCTGAGAGTTTTTTCTACTCTGAACCAAGCTTTCCTCCTCTAGAGGGGCTGCAGAATTCTAGATGCTTCTGCTTGCTGCTGTGCTCTCCTGGCCCATCGCTGGCACCAGGAAGAGTCCGGAGTCTCCAGGGAGAATCACACTCTATGGGCTGGGAGCCCCAGCCTTTCAGCAGGGGGGTGCATTTTAAATTCCCACAATCCTGCCCTTGAAGAAACCTATAGTTTTGCAATCCAGCCTTACCCTTCGCCTTAGATTCACTGGGATGTCCACCCCTCCTGCATCTTTTGAATACCCAAGCCAGAATAATGAAGAAAAAAATAGATATGCAGTGCGCATAGGTTTAAAAAAAGAAAAACGAAATGTGTGTACGCGTGCGTGCATGCGTGCGTGTGTGTTTGTGTGTGTGTGTGTGTGTGTGTTTTCTAACCACTGACCTATCCCAGTCTTTCCCAAGCTTGTCCTGAGAAGCTGTGTAATGTCCTGAACCTTCTGCTTTGATCAGGAGAGAAGGGCCCCTCCTCCAGTGCCAAAGAAGCCGGCGAAGGGCCCCGCGCCGCTGATCCGGGAGCGCTCGCTGGAGAGCTCGCAGCGCCAGGAGGCCCGCAAGCGCCTGATGGCCGCCAAGCGCGCCGCGTCCGTCCGCCAGAACTCGGCCACCGAGAGCGCCGAGAGCATCGAGATCTACATCCCCGAGGCGCAGACCCGGCTCTGAGCGCCGCCCTCCCAGTCTCTGTGGCCCCTCCACCGCCCCATCCCCGCAGCCGTCTCCCCCCACCCCTCCGAGCCCGTCTGTTTCTGAGCTCAGTGACTTCCACTGTCGTGGTGTAGTGGTCCACCTCGCAGGAGCCGTCCCCCCACCCCACCCCCGCGCCGTCCCGCTTCCCGAACCAATTTGCCCATCTTCACCGAGCTGCGCCCCCTTAATTTCCCGATGCCGGCCCCCTGCCTCATACAGAGATCCAACCCTTTATTTTCTGGGCCAAGCCAAACCCACCTGTGTAGAAAAGACACCTTTAGGTCACCTGCCATCCTCAGTTTTTCTCAAGCTAGTGTGTTCCTAGAGCTCAGCAATATAAAACCATAGGGTATTTCAGAAATCCAGTATCACAGGGTGATCCTTTGGGACTTTCCGTCTTCCACATGAAAGAAACGAGGGCTCCGATTCCCTTTATTTCCCCTAAATGGTTATTCTTTCTTTCTTTTTCTTTTTTTTTTTTTTTTAAAAAAAAGCAGATGGAGCACTTTATTTCCAACCTCAGATTATCACACCATCTCACCGGAATCGATGAATGACAAAAGAGAGAGGGGACCAAGCTGGCCTGGGGGTGGGGGTGGGGGAGACCTGGATGTGTAGGATTGAAGGGAGAAGCGAAATCTGCAGGTGCTAGGGGCACCTGCACCTCTCACAGCTGCACAAACTGCCTCGCTGTTAACTTCATCAATCACAGCTTCAAATGTTTCAATCAGCAGAAGATTGTAAATTTGATCTTTCAGGGAAATTAATCTATTCTGAAAGGCAATAAAAATGAAGAAGGCAAGGCAAAGCGAAGGAAGCGCTGATGGTTTGAGATACTGCATAAGGGATTTTATTTTTTTTTTCTCCTATTTTTAAGAAAAATTTAGGCCTGAAATGTTTTCTCAACTTTTATTGTACTATGTATATTATATTGTCGTTGTGGCGGTGATTTTTAAAGGGCAAAGTGTTGCTTCTGTTAATTTAGCGTCCATCCTGGTGGACCTGGTTAATGACACACACATAAGTATACATCTCCTTCTGAAGCACTGTAAACAGCAGCAAAGCTGTTTTCAGAGAAGGGTTTGGGTTTTCCTATCATCCCTTTGAATGCTACACATCCGTCTAGTTGAACCCACTCGTTCACATTTCAGGTATATTTCCTTCTTTAGCCTCTTCTGCTTACTATCCAGAGTTCGCTCACTCCCCACCATAGGATTTTGTCCTATGTCAAATGGAGAAACTAAGTTTATTACCCCAATAGACATGCTGCCTCATTCCAAAGAGCTTTCATTGTCATCTTGAGGTTCCAGGTAGGGAGAGAAGAAGTCTGACCTGCAGGGGTCAACAGCCATGAGGAGGGGGAAAGGTTATATGATTCAGTCACAGACAGAAGTCCAGGCACTGGGCAGAGTTTGTTGGTTTACATTTTTAGTCATGATTGATGGGCAGTATGCATTGGTGTCTAGCTGAAGATGTCTTCAAATGCCCTTACTCGTAGCAGTTTAAACATTTAGAATGTGGCGATCTTAAAGTATCACTGGCATATTATGTCCAGTTCACACCTTAAAGCATTAGAAATTTGCCATTGAACAAGAAATGAAAGACTTTTTTAAAAAATAAAATATGCTTGCACCAGAGAAGCTTTTAAAAAAATAATAATAATACACTCTCATAGCCAGGTGCTAATTTAATTTTATTTAAGAGAGGTGATGGGTTCTGGCAACGAATACTTTCACAGACATATTCTAAAACCACTAGAGAATTCGCTACCTCTCAGAGCCATTGATGCTTTGAGCTATCTTTATCCACAGGGCACAAATGTTTACTGCTGTGGTTTACAAGAAAAGGGCTACTAACTTATTTAAAAAACAACCAACCAACCAACTTTTAACTAGGGTAAGCCAAGCACCTTTCTGAAAGTGCTTCGTAAAATGGGGGGAAACAGATTTTTGAGTTTCAAAGTGTTTGCTAGTTCAGAAGAACACACCTTTTCTTACCTTGTAGCAGCAATGAAGTGTCACATAAAGTTTGCCGCAAGGAAGGCCAACTGTCACCTTGGGTCACCTATGGTCACAGTCACTACTGAGAATGACTTGGAACTCAGCAGAGTGACAGGAAGGAAGCAGCATCCATTCCCTAACCCATGTTCACACCCATGGCGCTGTGCCCTGAGGCAGAGTTAAGATCTGGATTAAGAAATCGATTTCTAACATGATTAAGACCATCCTACAATATTTTCTTTGGAAACTGATTTAGCCCGGGATATTTCAAAGAGAGACAAGATAAGGCCTATTTATCTTGTCTAAGCGAATGGTATTTGTATATTCATAAGCTATTTTTGGTAAGAATTTTAAATCTTTTAGCTGACTGCCTACAGGGCATCATGACCTTTGCCTTCCTTAAAAAACACAGTTTAAATTGTACAAACACTTTATAAAAAGCTAATTATTGATGTTAGAACATGACCCCCCACAATGCTGTTTGCTAACCACTTGAACCCCGAAACTGACATCCATGAGCTTAACCTTTGTTACATTGTTCTTTTTGATGTAATTTGTAGAAATGTTTTTTAGTTCATAATGGAAAATGTATGTACCCTGAAAAATTACTTATTTTGTTTAAACTTTGGTACAAAGGTGTTGGGCATTTTCTTGGGGCGGGGGGGATTACAAAAGAAGTTTGTCTCCCACATCAAAAAATGTTCAAAGAAATTAAGTATTTATTATATTTTTTGCAGATGTTTCCATACAATTCACATAACCTTTTTGTAAAGAGAGATGAAGAAATGGATTAAAGATTTTTAATATTTGAAATGGTAAATAGAACTAATTTATTTGTAATATATTTCTGTTATTTATAGATGTTTCCTTAATGTTTTACTGTGCATTACCACTTTAATTTAAGCCTTATCCTTGTGAATTTACCATTTCTTTTTTAAAACATGTCTAGATGCATATTTTAAATAACTGGAATGTAAATCACTAGCATATCTGAATTCCCAAATGTAATTTTTAAAAATTATTTTGGTTCGGAAAAAAAAAAAGATTCATTTGAAAGCCTTCAGATGGAGGGGTGGGGAACATTTTTATGGCTTTCTGAATTGGAATTTCATAGGCTTATTTACCTAGATTGTGTGTGGATAAAAAAAAAAATTGTAAATAGATGAACGTTTCCCAAATGTAAAAAAGAAGAAATTAATAAAATAATTAATGCACCTGCTTTCAGGTCTGTGTGCTTTCAGTGGAGTCCAGTTTCTTCGCAAACCTGAGTAGTTGTTTTTGGAGGGAAGGACTTCAGTGATTATTCTGAACTATTATAACATAAGCATGTTATTCTTACTTGCATTGTAACAACACGCATGCTACTCACTGTTGAGTATGGAGAGATCTTGCATTCTATTTAAAGGATTTCAGTACTGAAGAACTAAAAAATCCTTTTACTCTGATAATCATAGACACATGGAATTTTGAGTCAAGAGCAGCAGAAACTGTTGCAGTCAGAATCAGGTATATTTTCTGTTTGCAGTTTTTAACCCTTCAAACATGTGCAAATATATGTATATTTTGCGCACTTTAATTTCTTTTGTATACATTTCACTCATTTGGTTTGGGACACAGTTCTCCAGGTAGGAAAATCAGAATAATGCTTTGTGGTTTTCATTTCATCCTCACAGTAATAAAAACAAAAACAAAAACAACAACAAAAAAAACTGTGCTCACTGGGACTGGGGTGTATTGCAGTGGTAGAGTATGTGCCTAGCATGCATAGTTCTCGGGTTCAATCTCAGCATCATCACACACACACATGCACACAAAGAGCAGGGCGCAGTGGTGCATGCCTATAGTCCCAGCGACTCAATAGCCTGAGACAGAAGGATTGCAAGTTCAAGGCCAATCTGGGCAATTTGGTGAGATCCTGTCTCAAAGAAAAGAGAAGAACTGGAATGTAGCTCAGTCAGTTAGACTGCTCCTGGGTTGGATCCCCAGTAATGCAAAAAGAAAAATCAAACTGCTTACTGAGGTTTAGTGACTTGCCCTCCAATGACACAATTTTTAATGAACAGATTTGAATCTAAAATGCAAGCTTTTATTCAATTCCTTCTTCAGGGTCATCTCTATTGTTCTTTTCATTTTAAAATTGGTAATTATTCTATCAATTTCATCTGGCTTTCATCTAGGTCATATTCATAAACCTTATTTTACATGCACAAACAGGGCGAAAAAGTTAACTTTGTTTTACAAAGTGTATTTGCACTCATCTGTTAGTTGAAAATGACACAACTCTAAAACCTGTGTCCACAGTGTTTCATTCCCAAGCCCCACCTAGTTCATGGACAAATCCATCCACTTCTATGTGGCAAACTTGGGAACTGGTAAGCACAGTAGCCACTTTTTTCCAATTTTTGTACATAAGCAAGACCTATGCAAGTCACCAAATTAACACCATGTACTTTTTTGTGGGGGCAGGCGTGCTACCTGGGATTAAACTAAGGGACACTCAACCACTGAGCCACATCCCCAGCCTTATTATATGTTTTATTTAGAGACAAGGTCTCACTGAGTTGCTTAGCACCTCGCTTTTGCTGAGGCTGGCTTTGAACTCTCAATCCTCCTGCCTCAGCCTCCCTAGCTGCTGGGATTATAGGTGTGTGTCACTGCACCTGGCAACACCATGTACTTTTGAAACTGCTTCAAAAGAGGAATGATCCAGCCATTGAATCCCTGTGAGATTACAACAATCTCATTATTTTGGTGCATGTACTAACTATTCATGTAATCTGAACCTTGATCATATTTCTCTTTTCACAAATTAATTCTTCTATTTCATTGAGGCTCCTAACCATTCCAGCCAATTCCCAAACGAAATGAGTTAGCTTTTGAAGGTAGAAATTCAAATTTCAGTGACATCATTTCCCATGTTACAGGGTCCACCTTTCCCACCCTACAAAAAAAAAAGGAATTTAATTTTTTATAGAAATTGGACAAAATTGTTTGCTTTGAACATGCTGTTCTTTTATATATATATATATCTTTGAAATTAATTCACCCCTTGAGAATATACATTGATTTTGGTTTAAATAAATGACATATTAAAATCACCGTGTCTGAATGTGTTCATTCTCTAATGCCATTGATAATAAAAAGTGCTGAAATTTACTTCTGGTTTGCTCAATGGGCTGACTTTCAGCTGCTAAACCAAGATGAAATCAATTTCTTTTGCAAACAGAAACTAGCGGCCCTGTCTGAAAACCCTCTCTAGGTCCTAATTTACTAGTACAAGTTTACAAAACAGGTCTTAAATTATCCTGTAAATCAGGTATTATCTCCCATGAAGCAGAGAGTGGAGAATAGTGCTACTTCTTGATGCAATGTTGTCCTCTGGGCTTACTGCTGGCTCAGGAGAGGCAGCCTCAGAAAAATCACAAGAATGTGAAGCCCCACTGTGATTCCTGTGTCTCAATTTTGGCAGTCAAGAGATTATTCCCATACATTTTCTATGTGATTAAGCACAAGCCTGAATTTACAGAACGTGGCCAAAAGCAAGCAAGCTTTGCAGCAAATGCCAAAAGTCAAGCTCTGCCCTGGAGCTGACCAAACTGTTGCCATTCATTGCACAAAATGCTTTCACTACGCTGATAAAGGTAGTTACTCTCGCTCTTCTCATTTTTAGACTGTCTTGTTTGGAGAAGGAGATGCTAATTTCATCTGGAAACTTGATAGGTCAATCAGTGTCACTAAGAAGCTTCTATTGAGTTAGAAAGGGGGAGGGGAAATAGTTGTCTCTTCTGTTACATAGGGAAAAAACCACATTCTTCCTATTGGCTCTGCAGGGGGTTCTTAAACAACAAGGACAGCTCTCTGTAATCCTAAATCCTGGTGTTTTGCTGTTTCTGAAGGCCAGTGGTTTACAAATAGAAATATTCCTGCACAGAGAGGCTTCTGAGATTTGCATATACAGCTGTCCTTCCTCACCATTAGGGATGCAACCAACTGCACATCAGAAATATTTCAGGGGGCAGTGCCGCAGTCTGGCTGGGCACAAATGCCGCAGTCTGGCTGGGCACACAATCACGAGCCACCACACAGCTTGTAGATTCAAACAGCAACTCTTTATTCCCGAACTCACACCAGCCGTCTACAATCACGTTCTGGGGAAATCCACGTTCTCTGCCCAAATCCACGTTCTCTGCCCAAATCCCCATTCTCTGCCCAAATTCACCTCCACTGGGCTTCTATCTCCAAAATATACTGTCTGAATCCCGTGAGAACTCAAGGGGAACTCAGGCAGCAGGATACGCCCTATTCCCAGCAGGAATAATCTTAAACCTTAAACCTGGAACCTAAACTGGGAATGCCCTAAACAAGATTATCTTAAAACCGGGAACACTCTAATCTGCCTTGGTCCTTGAGCAAGGTTAAGTACATTCAATGTCACTGCAACATGGGGTACGCTGGCAAGGAAATTGTCATACTTACTTGGCTAATGGCTCCCAGCATCTCCCCCCTTCTGATTAATTAAACAACAAGCAATGTGGCTTAAGGACCGTGCCTGGTAGGTTGTCCAATTCAACATATGGTTCTTACCCGTCATCGGAAAACTGACCTTTAGGCGTCAGCCTCCTGTCTTAGGTTGATACCACTGCAATTGAATCATACCCGTCACTGACTACCGGTCCAGCATACAGCCATACTTGTGGATAGGTCTATGCACCAGTGGGGGGGTGAGGTTCTTTGCCTCACCTCTGTTGGCCCCCAAATTTGGCCTTGGTGCCAGTGGGGGAGTGAGGTTAATGTGGCTTATGGACCGTGCCTGGTAGGTTGTCCAATTCAACATATGGTTCTTACCCGTCATCGGAAAACTGACCTTTAGGCGTCAGCCTCCTGTCTTAGGTTGATACCACTGCAATTGGATCATACCCGTCACTGACTACCGGTCCAGCATAAGCCATTGGCCCCCAAATTTTAGACCATCACTAGCAGAAGGGAGGAGGATACAGAAATGCCACGACACCAAGCCAATTGACGGCTCCTTGGGAAAAATTGCATCACTGGTGACACCATCAGCAAAGATATGTCAGCACTACCACAATTCGCTGCACCAAATGATAGTTACATAGTCCAGGCAAGTTCTGCAAGCAGTTCAAAGCAGAGGAATCTATCAATATGTCCATTTCCTCCCAAAATCCGTTTCCTCCCAAAGTAAGTTGACTCTTTGAGCATTACTTGTTGAGTTCTTCACCGGCACTGGGATGGAGATAGGAATTCTGGCAATGATGCTAAAGAGACATTATCCTGAAAAGAATTATTAAATATAATGAAAAGGAAAGGTGAAAGTAAACAAACAGATCTGTTAACCTACTTTAAAAACAATCCTTAACAGCTTTTTACCTAATTTAAATTAGTAAACAAACAGATCTGTTAACCACCTTTAAAAACAATCCTTAACAGCTGTTTACCTAATTTAAATTAAACCATTTAAATCACGTGAATAAAAAAAAATAATAATTCGGATCCATTTTTTCATGAGCGCTCCTCATATAAGAAATATGGACATATGCACATACAGACATACAACACAAAACACAAGAGTGTACACAAACATACAACACATAAGAAAATAGTAAAGGCCTTGTAGCTTTACCTGGGTGAAATCTCCATTGCAATGTTTAAAAACTCCACAGTCAAAAAATAAAACTGATCAGAAAAACATTAACCTAGGTTTGTATGAGCTCAAAAAATAAAAATAGAACCTTATGATGTGGAAAAATGCAATAATAAAATAGCTATTGAGAAAAGCATCCTGGTTAATCACTGTCGCAGATGTAAGAATGGCCAAGCTGGAGTTCTGGATATCGGCTGTTATGGATTTGAGTCAAATCATCTTCTTTTCGATCTGTAGAAACTGTTTTAGTTAATCTCTCTGGAATCCAAATGGGCTGCTGTTCTCCTTGTGGAAAAACACAAACAGACCCCCGACTCCAGACAATCACTGGGTCAGGACCTTTCCATTGTCCTGTTAGAATATCTTTCCAAAGTACTTTAGGCTTATGTACATTTTTTGGATACATATGCCTTTCCGCAGCACTAAGTCCTGATGAATCCAAATTTAAAAAGTTTAGAGTAAAAAGCGTTATTTTAAGTTTATCTTTGGGGGATATATACCCCCTTCCAATTCCCTCTTTTTGCTTTAATAAGTATATGTCTGTATCTAATAGTTGT